GTGTGGGGTGAGGCGGGGGGTTGAGGGTGGGACCGCTGTGTGCGTTGCTGTGCACTGTGTCAAACAGGCCCATTTTTTGGTGGCTTGGCACCATACGCTGTGCCCGAAAACTGAGAATGGCCATGTTGCTTTGCCCGCTGAGTTTCCAGCAAATAGAGACAAGGATTCAGGCCTCAATTCAACCCCAGGCAGGGCTAATCTGCCTGACCTGTAAGCAAGCCGACATCGCACAAGTGAGAACGACACACCAAGCAACACGCTCACCGCCGGCGCCTGCGACGCCGCCACGTCCACTGCACCGCTGCCGCAGGCATCGCCGCAGTCGCCGCCGCCCCGGGGCGCGTCAGGCGACGCCGCGCGCCTGAGCACCCTGATGAGCTTGGGCCCCGGGCTGCCGCCATCTGCGGCCGCCGCGGACCCCAAAAGGACGGCCTCCCCTGCGCCGCGGGCCCGCAGGCCGGTCATCGGCCCGGCCGAGGCGCCGCCTGCACCGCCGAGGAGCTCTTGGTGGCCCTGCACCTGCTCCTGCTCCTGCTCCTGCTGCTGCTCCTGCTCCTGCTCCTGCTCCCGCTCCTGCTCGTGTGCCTTCTCCTCAGTCAGCTGGCCGCACTGGCCGACCGCCGCAGCCCCCGCCACAGCCCCAGCCATCAGCAGCCCCTTCTCCAGCTCAAACACTGTCTGAGTCCTGCCGCCCGCGCGCCTGTGCACCACCTCCGAAACCAGGCCGCCGCACCCCTGCCTCGGGCAGCGCGGGGGTGCCGCCGCCGCGCGGCGGCCGCACTTCGACGCACACTTGGCGGCCGCTTTTGTGTCGTCGGCGAGGCAGGAGCGGCGGTAGCACGACTCGTGGGCGCGCGCGCCGCGGCAGGCCCGCTGGCTGCAGCTGATCAGGAAACGCGCCTCGCCCTCAGCAATTGCTCGCCCCTCCACACAGGGCGTGGCGGCGCCGCAGCCCTCAAAGCAGGCGACTTTGCCGCCGCCGCAGCACCCGTGGCTCGCAGCGGCAGCCGCGGCTGGGGCGGCCGCGCCTGGCGCTGCCGCCGGCGGCGCAGCTGACTCTGACTCATGAGGTGGGGGAGGCGCCTCACCGCGGGCCACCGCAGCGGCCGCGTCCGCCGCCGCAGCAGCAGCCAGCGCAGCCGCAAGGGACAGCACATGCGCAACCTCCGGCTCCGCCGGCGCTGCCAGCCCCACGCCCCCGCGCAGCGGCGCCGGCAGGCGCGGGCGCTCCGGCTTCGGCGTGGCCGGCTGCTGCGTGCGCTCGGCCTCCCGGCGTGCCGCGCGCTTTGCCTCGCCGCGCTCACGCTCAAGAGCGGCCCTAAGCGCCGCGATGCCCCGTTTCAGCAGCCCTCGTCGGAGCGCGCAGTTGGCGCCGACCTTCGGGGCCGCGGCCAGCTGCCTCTGCTTTTTCAGCAGCAGCGCCTCGCCGCCGCTCTTGGTGTAGCGTGCGGCGAACAAGGCATCGAAGAAATCGAGAGTCTCTTGATCAATGGCGGGTTTGCCGGAGGCCTGCAAGGCCGGCGAGGGAGAGGGACCCGTGGAGACGGGGAGCGTGGGAATGGAGGCGGCGGGGAGGTCACCTGAACGGTGGGCGCTTGCGTGCCGGGCGTGGCTGCGCTCGATCGCAGCTGCACGACAGCGGCGCTATGGCATGCCCGCCATTGCGGGAGCGCCGCCTGCAGCTCCAAACTTGACACCTCAACAATAGAGCCTCAAAAACCTACACACTCTCTTGTTGCAACGGGCGCCTTGCCGCACCTTGTCTATTGGGATTTTGCAGGCCAGCTCCTCCATTGATGTTCTGAACGAGGCCAGCGGGTCCCTGCCAATGCGCCCCTGCGCCTCATACTGCTTGAGGGAGTCCTCCAGCCAGCGCGGGGCGTTGTGGCGCGCATCGGTCGCCCAATCTGGCACAGGCGCGCCGGGCACAAGCGCGCCTGTTCCTTCCTGAGCGCGGGCGCATCGCGGCAGGAGGTTTGATCACCTTTGGATTGGTTGTGGCATGGCTGGCAATGCGGACCCGCAAAACAGGTGTTTCAGTGTCACCTGCAACTCAAACGAAACAATGTCAAGTCTCACATGCCTCAATTGATGTCGAACCTGGGCCCCGCTCAGCGATAGGGGAGCTACCCACCTCTGCCGCCTGCGAGGGGTTCATCGGTGCCGCGGCGACGCTGGCCGCCTTGGATGTGGGTCCGCCCAGCCTGTCTGGTGGCGCAACTTTGCCGCCAGCAGCGGTCTGCAGGGGCGGGGGCGCCGCGCCCAGGCCGAGCCGGGGCCGTGGCGCCTCGGCCAAAGATGGTTCGCCTTCGCCGGCCGGCAGGTGGTTCTTGTCGGTCGTCTTGGTTTTGTCGACGGTGGCCTGCTCCTTGGTCTCGCTCGCCGGATTGCCGGTGCCCTGTTGCGAGCAGCGGACGATCGACGAGTGGCGGCACTCTATTGCAAGGTTGGCAGGTTGTGTGTTGAGTGACGCGCGGCCGGCGCAGAGCGCCAGACCTGCAGATACAATGCTTAGCGGCACATCCTTCCGTTTCTGCCTGCAAAACGCAGGGCCAGCCCCAGCGACCTGCGCAAAGCTAGCCCGTCGCACCTCGCTCCTGCCGTTGCCGCCGCCGTCTGCCCGCAACGACCCGTTAACTCCTCCAGTGCTACCCAAAGAAGGGCGCAGCTGCTCCTCTAGCCGCCGTCGTTCTAGCATCAATTCATCCAGCTGCTGCTGGGCCCGCTGGGCCCGCTCCCGCTGCTGCTGCTGCTCTCGCAGCACCTGCTGCTCCCTCAGCAGCAGCTGATGCTCCCGATGCTGCTCCCGCTGCTGCTCTCGCAGCAGCTGCTGCTCCCGATGCTGCTGCTGCCGCTGCTCTTCCTGCCGCCGCAGCTGCTGCAGCCTCTGCTGCATCTCTTGGAACGACTGCTGGTGCTGCTGATGACATTCCGGCTGCCCTCTTCCATGGTCAATCTCGTCTTGGTAGGCGGCCCATGCGAGGGACAGGCACCCCTGAGTGCGCGGAGGGGGCAACAAGTCGTTCGGTCGGCCCTGGCGAGTGTGAAGAAATTGCTGCTCGGAGGTGCGCCGGCGCGGCGCAGGCGGCGTCGAGGGACGCGCATGGGCGCCGGTGCTGTCTGTAGGCAGCGGACCTCCGCACCCTGATCTCACCCCCAAGCACGGCATCTCACCTCCTCTGGAAGCAGCTTGGGCCGCTGCGCCGCCGCCGCATCCGCCGAAGCCCGCGCTGGCGCCTCAACCGAATGCAGCACCTGCAGCGCTTCGTCCGCGCCTGCCGCCGGGGCCGCGTCCGCACCGCCGCCGTGCTCCCCGGGACGTGGTGCCACGCGCCGCTGCTGCTGTTTCTGCATGAATGCCTGCAGCAAGCAAGTGCGGGTCTTAAGGTCCAGACTAGGATCACACCAACTCGGCGGCGCCTCGGGCGAGTGGCCCATCATCTGAGACGCCCCGTCCGGGACCATGCCGGCGCCGGGCGCCGCGAACGGGGATTGGGGCCCTGGCGCGTCCAGTGCTGACGGTGGGTCGCCGACGCCGTTCGTGTCCGGCGTCTTGGTTTCGACGGCGGTGGCTCGCGCCTGAGTCGCGATCGCCAGATTGCCAGCGCCCTAATGCAAGTGGAGGGCGATCGACGAGCAGCTGCAATTGATGCAAGAGAAGCAGGTCGTGCGTGAGTGCGCGCGATGCCGGTGCAGAGCGCCATAACTGCCCATGACCATGCTTAGCGGCACATCATCCCCTCCTTGTCTGCACAACGACGCGCCAGCCCCCTCGCCCTGCGAGATCTTAGCCCCTCGCACCCCGCTCTCGCGGCCGCCGCCGCCGTCTTCGCGCAGCTGCCCGCCGTTGATGCGTCCGACGTTATCCAAAGGGCCCACCTGCTCCTCCAGCCGCCGTTGTATCTGCACCAGTTCTTTATCCAGCTCCTGGTCCCGCCGTATCCTCTCCTGAGTCTGCTGCCCCTGCCGCTGCAGCAGCTGCTGCACTCGCTGGAACGCCTGCTCTCGCTGCTGATGGCACTCTGGCTGGCCCCCTTCATCGCTGATGGAAAGCTCTTGCGCTTCCATAAAGGCGGTCCATGCGAGGTCCAGCTCCTCCTGCTTGAGCAGCAGTGGCAGCAATCAATATGTAAGCGCTGGCGAGGGCAGAGAGATTGCTGCTCGGACACTTCGCGGCCACTGAAGGCGGCGCCCGAGGACGCACATCACCTGCGGTGCCGTCTGCGGGCCGAGCGCCTGCACACCCACGTTCAACCCCCAAGCGCGGCGCCTCACCTCCTCGGGGGAAGGCCGCTGGGCCGCCGCCCGCGCTGACTCCTCAATAAATTCGAGCAGCTGGCGCATTCCGTCCCCGCCCGCCCCGGGACGCGTCGCCGCACGCAGCAGTTCCCGCATCCGCCTGGTTTCTTCACCCTCGTGCGGCCAGCCAGTGCAGGGCCCGAGGTCCCCGCTGAGGTCTTCCTGAGTTGGGGGCGCCTCGGGCAAGGGGTCCATCACGTGAGACGCCCCACCCGACACTATGCCCTCGACAGGCGCTGGGAACAGCGGGCCACGGCGCTCAGGGCTTGGTGGCGGTGGCGGCGCCGCCGCCGCCGCGGCGTCTGTCGCCCCGGCCGGGGCCGCAGGCGCGGGCGGCGCCGCTGGGGGGTCCCGCCGCTCTAGTGGCAGCGGAGAGGTGTGCTCAGTCCTGTGGGAGTCCGCGGCCGCAATGGCGGCGGCGAGGCGGGCCGCAAAGCTGCACGGCTGGTCGGCGTGATGCTCCTGCGACTCATCCGCAGGCGTGGAAGTCGGAGAGCCGCTCAGGGAGCTCGGCGATGGAGAAGAGTCTGCTGTGGGTGCACCGTCTGCTGCCGGCGCGCTCTCTGTGTCGTCGCTGCGCACGCTGGGACGATCTGCTTCCTGCCCCTGCTCTCGCAGCTGCTGCGACGGCACCCCAGCTTCAAGCGTAAGCGTGTCCTGCTCGAATGTCATTGTCAGCTCATCCCACTGCTGCGGCCCCTCTCGCCGGCGGCTGCCGTCCTCGCTCGCCGCCGCTAATGCGATGCCGTTGGCCGCCGCCGCGGATGGGAGCCAATTTACGGGAGAGGCAAAGCCCGCCGCCGCCACTGGCGTCGCAAGGCCGTTGGTGCCCAGGGATGGAGCAGATGCAGGCGGTGCCGCGGGCGGAAGGAGCGACGCCTCTTGCGACTCGGCAGCCGGCAGAGAAAGGGGCTCCCCGCCAGCGGCGTCGGCGGCCGCGGGGGCGCCGTCGTCTTCGGGGCCTCCAGGCTCGTTGCTGGGCAGAGGGTCCCCTGCATCCTGGGAAGCTGAAGGGTCGGTGTTTTGTGGCTGTGGCTGCGCGGGCTCTACCGTCGAAGCAGGGACCGCTGGGTCCTCGGGCTGGGCATACGGCTGTGCGGCTGAGGCGCCCTGGCCGGCGGGCGATGTGCTGAGCGGGGATGGGTCGTGGGAGTCTGTGGCAGCATCATCGCGCGGTGCGGCGGGGGACGGGTGGACAGGAGTGCAGGCGCGGGGCTTGTCGCTGTCCATGCGGCTGGTGGGGGCGGCTTCGGCCGCAGGGGCGGCTTCGGTTGGGGGAGTGCCGGCGAGCCAGCGCGTGAATCGTGTCCAGAGGCTGTGAGCCAGCGGCGCGTCCTGGCCCTGCAAGGCGATTGCATCAAGATTGAGGGTACGTGAGCTACACTGTCATCGGCACCCGCTGCCACTTTGGGTTTGGCAGGCGGCCACGTGGCCCCTGTCGTTTGGTTTGGCGTGGCGTCCACATGGGCGCAATCCCACCCAGAGATGAGATTCAATCCCTTTTTGCACCTCACTGCACTCAGATACTGATAAGTCTCCAGATAGGCCCTGACTTCTGCAATGGACAATCGGTCCTACCTGGCTTTGACTTGGTGGCGCCCCCGCTAGTCCTGCTGCACTGCTGCTCGCCGCATGTGCCCCTCGTGCTGCGGCGCTTGAGCTTGGCGTTCCCAGGAGACTTTTCCCCCACCACCACTCGCAGAGTGCAAACAAAATCATACCGCCTGCAAAGGGGCGGACATAGGAAAGTGATCAGGACGACCGCGTTGCAGATCTGGCCCCTGGGCAGCATGCTGCCCATCACTCACGCTGATCGATATGATTGAGCTCATGAGTACTTCTACATATGCCTCACGTGCGCGCAACTCGCAGAGTGTGGATCTGCTGTCTTGAGCTCTGCAGGGCAAGCTGAATCGCTTAGTTACGCCACACTTATCTAAACATCAAATCGATTACGGTGGTATTTCATGGTCCTGGGCTTCAACCGAACGTGCATGGGCGCCTTGCAGCAACCAACTATTCAAACCATGGTCAAACACTTGCGTTGGGGAGCATGTGTTGCATTTAAGACGATTCCACCACCATGATATACATCCACAACCGACATTACCATCCGTGTGTCCTGGGTGGTGCTTGTCTTGTCCAAATCTGTCACGCTGCGCTGGATCGTCTGTGTGCAGCACCAGGGTACTCTCACACACACCCTCTTCCAGCATACATTTACAAACACGGTGTGATGTCATGCTGCCAGCTCACCATGAGCAGCGACTGTGTGCATGCAAAAACTCAGACACCATCATGTCGGCAAGGCACACACACGCGGTGGTCGGATTCTCTTGGGGTGACGAGGGCGGCACGAGGGCGGCAGAGGTGCCGGGCACTGACGAGGTGTGATGAAGCAAGGGGTGCTCACAAGGCACAAAGCGGATATGGGGGGCAGAGGCGCCAGCCGATCGCGTGGGGGCGCAAGACAGTGTGCACGGCAGAAGTGGTGGATAAAGGTGTGCGAGCGTTGTTGACTGCAAGGGCGTTCATTTCTGAGTCAAGGAAGCGCTGGCCCGAGCAAGTGGCATGGCAGAACCATGCCAAGTGGCATTGAGACCAGGCATGATGGCATGCGGATGGAAATTCGGAGGCGGCAAAGCAAAAGCAAGGCTCGGAAATGGTGTTGGAGCCGCAAGCAGGTGATTCCCACTATAGTGGGAATTCACGCAAATATGCAGGTGTTGGGGACGGCCGCGGTCCGAAGGCCCGTGTAGGCAGGGACAGAGGGTTCGAGTGACAAGGTTAGTCCGAGGTTGCGTTGGTGCACAGCTGCTGCTGTCCAAGACAGGTGCATACGGGCGTCCTGTGATGTGATTCCACATCACGGACGACCAGTGTGAGAGGTCTCAAGCGGATGCATGCGTGAATTGGGGTGCGGCCCTTGCCCAGCCGCCCTCCTCATCACGCCCGGGCGGCGCGGCGCGTGCGCCCGCACTGCGACAAGCATGCGGATGTGCACCCCTGCGCAGGGCTGACTTGCCACTCGGGTGCTCCCGCAGATGAGTGGTGCGAACGAGGCTGCTGCCTCCGCTTTTGCAAGCAGGCGGCCGGCTTCATGGTCGTTTGTAGCTGATGTCAGATTGATTGCTTCCATGGTTGTGTGGTGTAGACCAAGTTAGGTTCTGGTGTGCGCTTCAGCCTAAGCTTTGCTTTGGGTTGGAAGTTTGTTGAGGTAGACGCCGTTGAGGAAGGTCCTGCGTGGTTTGGAGCAACACAAGGTGGCTCCGAGGTTGGGCCGCGCCGGGGCAAATGAGTTTGGGGATGCACCATCAGCAGCGCATGCGTGCGGGCCACGACAATATCAGAGCAAAAAATCTGCAGCAGAGATCTCCAATAACTTGCGCTCCCAGTCTTGCGGAACCTGAGCCACAGACTGGGGGTCCCTTTGTACAACCAATAAGCTTAGCGCGAGCGCGCACTCACAGGCAGACCCTGGCAGCGTCCGCGCTGCCGAACCGCGCCGCAACCGCGCCCTCCCCTGCCAGCAGAACCAGCTCCCTGGGCCCGCCCCCCCTCTTGTCAAAGGTCAGCGCCGCCTCGAGCGCCGCGGGGCGCGGCGCGCGGCCGGCGGGCAGGCGCAGCTGCGCCAGGGGCACGAGGACGCAGGGCACGACCTCCTTGGTGACTGCGACAGGTGGGGGCGGCGCAATGGCCGTTTCGCGTGCGCATACGTGTGTGCGCAAGCGCGCGCGCACGAGCACCCGCACATGTGTGTGTGTGTGTGTGTGTGTGTGTGTGTGTTTGTGGCGTTGTGGTGTTGCGTCAAGGTGTTTCGGATTTGCGAGCCTGCTAGGTTTTGACCAATCATACAGCGGCAATTGAGCAGGCACGGCCCAAACCTGCACCTGCAGCAGATAAAGTGGCTGTGCTGCCGCAGTCAAAACCTGCAACGGGCCTCACCTAGAATCCTAAGCCAGGGCGCCATCACAGCGGGTGCCGCAGGCCCCGTTGCCCCCGCCTTGCCCACCGGCGACGCCGGTCCCGCCTTGCGGACCGGCCGGGCCGCCGCTGGCCGCGCAGCCGCCGCAGCCGCCGCGGCCGCCGCGGCCGCCGCGCCGGCAGCGGACTTGGCGGGGCTGCAGGACGGCAGGGATGGGAAGTCTTGGGAGGAGAACAGCTTCGGTCTGGGATTGGTCATCTCGTTGCCAGCTGCCATGGCGGCCGCAGCCGCGTTGTCTTGCTGCCACTGCTGCTCTGCGGTCCGCAGCGCCCTGCGCACCCTCTGTGCGGGCATGGGCAGCGGCGGCGGCGGCGCCGGGGACGCCGGCACAGGCTGTTGCATGGGGCCGGCCTGCGGCGGCCGCGGGGCCGGCACGGGCTGCGCCGCAGCGGATGGGCGTGGAGATGGGGCCGGGGCGGGGCCCTGGTCATCGTCTGAAGAGTCCCTTGTGGGGCGGTGGGTGGGGCCCTGCGGTGTGGGAGGAGATGGTGTAAAGGGGTGGTTGGGATCATTGAGTGTGTTGACAGGCGCACTGCCATACAGGAAAATTTGCTGGCTCGGTGCCATAAGCAGTGCCCGAGACCCCAAACTGGGAGCACTGCATCCGAGTCGCCAGCAGTTGTTGGGAAGGAGCCAGGCCTCAGTTGGACCCTAGGCAGGGCTGATCAGCATGGTGCATAAGCAAGCCAACCGCACGCAAATGAAATGTTAATGCACTCAGCAGGTGATCCCCAAAACGTTCACCGCTGGCGAGCCCGACGCTTCCTTGTCCACAGCCCCGCTGTCGCAGGCGTCGCCGCCGCTGCCGCCCTGGGGCGGGTCAGGCGACGCCGCGCGCCTGAGCACCCGGATGAGCTTCGGCCCCGCGCCGCCGACGTCTGCGGCCGCCGCGGGCCCCAAAAGGACGGCCTCTCCTGCGACGCCGGCCCCTGGGCCCATCATCAGGCGCGCCTCGGACAGGCTCGCACCGCCGACAAGCTCTATGTGGCCTTGCTCCTGCTCCTGCTCCTGCTCCTGCTCCCGCTCCCGCTCCTGTTCCTGTTCCTGCTGCTGGTCTTGCTGCTCCTGCTGCTCCTGCTCCACCGTCCCCTGTCTGCACCGGCCAACCGCCGCAGCCCCAGCCAGCAGCAGTCCTTTCTCAAGCTCAAACACCGTCTGAGTCCGGCCGCCCGCGCGCCTGTGTACCACCTCCAATACGAGGCCGCCACACCCCTCCCTCGGGCAGCACGGCGGCGGTGCCGCTGCGCGGCGGCCACGCCTCTGCGCGCCCTTGGCGGCAGCCCTCGTGGCTTCGGAGAAACCGCAGCGGCGGAAGCACGACTCATGGGCGCGCGCGCCGCGGCAGGCCCTCTGGCTGCAACTGATCAGGAATCGTGCCTCGCCCTCGGCGATCGCCCTGCCCTCCACGCAGGCCGTGCCCGCCCCGCAGCCCTCAAAGCAGGCGACTCCGCCGCCGCCGTAGCACCCGTCCCGCGCAGCGGCGGCCGCGCCTAGGGCGGCTGCGCCTGGCGCTGTCGCTGGCGGCGCGGCTGGCTCTGACTCGTCAGGTGTGATCGTCGCCCCACCGCGAGCCGCCGCAGCCGCCGCGTCCGCCGCCGCAGCAGCAGCCAGCGCGGCCGCAAGGGACAGCACATTTGCAACCTCCGGCTCCGCCGCCGTCGCCGCCAACGGCCCCACGCCCCCGCGCCCGCCGCCGGCGCCGCTCGGCGGCGCAGGCAGCCGCGGGCGCCCCTCCTTCGGCGCGGCCGGCTGCTGCCTGCGCTCGGGCCCTGGGCGTGCCACACACTTTGCCTTGCAGGACTCACGGTCAAGAGCGGCCCTGAGCGCCGCGATGCCACGTTTCAGCAGGCCCCGTTGGAGCGCGCACTTGGCGCCGACCTTCGGGGTGGCCGCCAGCTGCCTCTGCTTTTTCAGCAGCAGTGCCTCGCCGCCGCTCAAAGTCACGGGTGTGGCGAGTACTGCATGGCAGAAATCAAGAGTCTCTGGGTCAATGGCGGGGTTGCTGCTGGCCTGCTGGGCGGGCGAGTCAGGGGGGGCCCGTGGGGACGGTACATCTGGGAACGGAGGCCGTGGTGAGGCTTGCTTGATGGCAGGCTCTCTCGTCCCGCGCGTGGGGGCGCTGGGTTGCAGCTGCACGGCAGCTGTACCATGTACCGCTCGCTGTTCAAGCGAACGTGAGTGAGCACCCCCTTCAATTACTCATCTCAAACAGATACCCTCAAGACTACAACAACCATTCCCGTCCCAACGGCCCCCTTGCCGCACCTCGTCGCTTGGGGACACCACCATCGCCAGCTCCTCTATGGAAAAGCGAAACGAGGCCAGCGGGTCCTTGCTGATGCGCCCCTCCAACTCATACTCCTCTAAAGACCACTCGAGCCAGCGCGGGCTGTTCGGGCGCTCGTCGGCGGCACTAGCAGGCCCAGGCGCGCCGGGCACCGGCGCGCCTTTGCCATCCTGAGCGCGGCAGGGTCGGGGCGGAGGCGTAAGTATCTTTTCGATTGGTGATGGGATGGCTGGCGGCGCAGCTCACAGAACAGGCGTGCTAGTGTCACTGCATTTTGGTAGGCAACGACATAACGTCGTCCCACACTTCTCAACCCTGTATACCCCTGGCCCCGCTCAGCGAGAGGGGAGCTACCCACCTCTGCAGCCTGCGAAGGGACCAGCGCCGCAGGGCAGCGGTCCGCCATTGGTGTGGGGCCACCAAGCCCAAGCAGCGGCGCGGCCCCGCCGCAGACGGCGGCCTGCAGAGGCGGGGACGCCGCGCGCACGCCGAGCCGGGACCCTGACGCCTCCGCCCCTGAAGATGGGTTGCCAATCCCGGTCCGCAGGCGGGCCGTGCCTGGCGTCTTGGTTTTGTCAGCGGCGGCTCGATCCTTGGTCGCGCTCGCCGGATCGCCGGCGCCCTATTGCAAGCGGAGGGCGGGCAACAGGCCGGTATACTCTAATGAATAGTTGGCAGGTTGTGAGTTGAATGCACGCACCACCAGTGCAGAGCGCCATACCTGCCATTAACAATGCCTAATTGTACCTTCCTTGCCTGCAAAGAGCCCCCTTGCCCAGAGCAAATTTAGCCCTCGCACCTCGCTCCTGCGGTTGCCGCCGCCGTCTGCCCCCACCAGCCCCCTGATGCGTCCAGCGTCACCCAAAAGCGGGCGCAGCTGCTCCTCTAGCCGTTCTTGTTCCAGCAACAATTCATCCAGCCTCTGCTGGGCTCGTTGGGCCCGCTCCCGCAGCTGCTGCTGCTCCTGCTGCTGCTCCTGCTGCTCCTGCTGCTCCGGCTCCTCCTGCTGCTCCTGCTGCTGCTGCTGCTCCTGCTCCTGCTCCTGCTGCTGCTGCTGCTGCTGCTCCTCCTCCTGCTGCTGTGGCCGCTGCGGCCACAGCTGCTGCAGCTGTTGCCGCAGCCACTGGACCGCCTGCTGTAGCTGCGGGTGATCTTCTGGCTGGTCCTCTCCAATCGCAAGCTCCTCAGCAGACTGCAGGGCCCCCCATGCGAGTTCCAGCTCCTGGTGAGCGAGCAGTGTGTGTGGG